GTTGGGGTCTCTAATCAGCCGCTGCCGTGGTCCCTGCGCTGTCAGCTCCGAGTCCTCCGGTTTCTCCACTATCGTCGTTTGCCCATCTCCCGGCGGCAGATCCTAGGCTGTATCCCCCCAGGCTGCCCTCGGGTACTGGGGTGGTGCCAGTCCCGTCACTGCCCGGGGATATCTTGTCGTTCAACCCTTCGTCGTCGTCGTAATCACCCATGTATCTATCCTCGTCTTCCGGTTCCAGGTACAGCGGCTCGGCTTCATCCTGCAAGGAGTGCCTTCCCAACTCATTTGTCAATGATGGTGCCTTTAAGATTTTATGCGGGATATATAGATCCTAACTTTTCCTAAGACAATATTCAAATTTAAAAAAAATGAAGATATTTGATCATATTTCAAAGATCATAAAAGATTCAGATCAAATACAACCTTTTTCTTTAGAGAAACCATCAGAAGAGTTATGGTTAGAATCACCACCATCTTCCATGTGCAGCCCGTGGGAGTGACACCCACAGCAAAGACTCTTGGAGCCTCCTCTTGAAGATACCGTAGCCATAACTCCAGACAAACATTCCCGCCCAAAAAAGCCTGTGGCCACCCACAGGCATGCCTTCATCAAGAGAAAGCCCATGCTCTGCGGCAGGGCAAAGAAATAGGTCATGTATGAATAAAGAACCATCAACAAATCATCCAACAACAAAAAGGAAGAGCTCACTAGTTGTTACATGCCCAGTTGGGCGATGTATATACATATATAGTCAAGGATTCACAATATGATGAAAAGGACTGAATGGACAATGCAGTGCTAGTGGAATCTCAACAAGCAATGTACACCCTGATACATACAAAATGGCGCCTTGTAGCGCAGCGGAAGACTTAGATATAAGCCCTGACCTGACCGGGACTGACCTCTCTCACGTAGTGCAAGACAGCGCAGCGGAATGCTAGAATACCAATGACTAACCCAATCAATGTCGCAATGCAGACCAAACATACATCATCCTCATCACAAGGTGTGAAGGGGCCTGGCGCTACACACAGGAAGAATGCGCCAGGTCCAGGACCATACACAGATGAAGAGGAGGGGATCAGACGAAGAAGCGGGGGAAGATGGGAATGTCGTCAACACCAAGTCTTCGGTACAAGTCCCAGATAATCTCTCGTCAAATGTCCGAAGCCCAATGTCGAGTCTGGATCCAAATGTCACAAATCCCGCTCTCTCGTAGTCTGCTGATGCAGTGAAGTCAGGTAGCGAGAGGGTGAGGGGTAGATTGTGGACTGAGAAGAGGAGGAAGAAGAATCTCTCTCTCTCTCTCTCTCTCTCTCTCTCTCTCTCTCTCTCTCTCTCTCTCTCTCTCTCTCTCTCTCTCTCTCTCTCTCGCTCGCTCGCTCGCTGG